GAACCTGTTTTCTCTTGAAAAAAAAAAAAGTCAGAAGGAATCTGATTGAAGTGTTTAAGATTGTTAAAGGAATTGATAGTGTTGATGTATCATCCTTTTTAAATATAAATGTTGGGTAGTAATCATCTTCAGCTAAGACAGCTTTATTTTTCTAACAGTGTGATTGGTCTATGGAATGAGTTGTCTTCAGTTGTGTTAGATGTTAGGTTTAATATTTGAATGATAAGGACTGGCTTATTTTTACTTTAGAGTTCAATATAGTGGATGGGATGGCCAAGATTGACCAATAGGTCCTTTGTTATTTTTGAATTTTATGTAGATGTATAGATATCATAAATGTAGTATTTTGTTTCAAACCTTTATGGTTGGGATTTAAAGAGACACAGAATCTTGGTTTATAAACTTCCTATGCTTTACTATAAGAGTTGTACTGTTTTACAAGTGTTGTTTCTTTTGTGGCCGGACCATTGCTCATATAATCAGCTTTACAAATAATTTGGAATTTGAAATAATTTTGAATTGATTCTTATGATTATTGAGACAAACAGTTTTTTTTTTATTCTAGATTTAGAGGTAGAATACTTTGTTACAATTGTTTTCAAGTTTATGTTTGTCAGATGAAGCTGAAACACTGGTTTAAAGAAATAACTTAGAACAATGTCCTAGGTTCCTGTAATTCAACATTTTATAAAATCATATTTCATATAATATAACTTTGTGTATGTATTTTATATGTCCCTAGAAAGGACAAGTGAAATGTTTGCCTGAAATAAAAATATTATTATAAAGAAAAAAAAATTTTCAGTCACATCAATCTTTAAAAAAATTGTAGTGTTTTGTTGATAAATGATGCATCACTTCTTTTCATGTTAATCCTTATACATGAACATAAGATGACATTTGGAGTTATTTTTGTGTTCTGTATATTTGTTACAAATATATTCACTTCAATCTATGGTGCACTTATGATAACATATATGTTTTTTTTTTAAAGAACCAATTCAAATCGACTTACTTCTGCTTCGGATGTTGAGTCTGAAGAAGAAAATGAAGAGGGCGCCTATACTGTTTATGAATGTCCTGGCTTAGCACCGGTACGTATCTTCTGATAAATTTGGTGTGAAAAGTGCACTACAAAATAATTTATTCTTTATTATTACAAAAATAATGGCAGATATGTGATATGGAGAACTAACTCTATTATTGACACGTTTCAAATCATAATTTCAATTGTAATACCTTGTTTAAAATGAAACAAACAGCTTTTGCTGTATTCATTTTAAATTGAGTTTTTATCATCAGGTGTTTGTTTTTGGGAAAGTCCATTCTGTGTAATAGTGCTTATAATATTGTGGATTTTTATTTTTATGAGTAAAAGTTATTTTACAAAATTATCTCCTAACTTTGGTTAGCAAAACATTAATTTTGTCGAGGCTGTTTTTTATGCATGTATATTGGAGCATAATGAGTAGAAAATCATGATAGGAGATTTTTTATTACATTTAAATGTACGCTGATTCACTTACATCGATATAAAAACTACCACTGCAAGCACGCTCAAAACCGAGACATCCATACATGATTAATATACAGTATTATATAATCATCAACTCACAGGCTGATATTAATTGTTAAGGACAATGACCAAATACATTTAGTTATTTTTCCAATAGTCATGCAGATATTTCATTCACCCAGTACACTGTAGATTAATTTGGCTAACTGTAATGGATACTGTTCATTGAGTATACTTTTTAGCCCATTCATTGTTTATATAGAACTACAGAAATTAAGAAAGAGCTCATATTGAAACCATGTCAAGCAGTGCTCTGAAAATGATACCCATACAATTATTTTACTCTTAATAAAAAGCTAATAACAGTAAGTTTAAAGCACCTTGGAATACGATTTTCTCAACTTGCTGCTAGATGCTCGTATCAAATCATCAATTTCCAGTAACATATGAATCAATCTTATAATTTACCTTCTTTTGTAGACTGGTGAGATGGAGGTTAAAAATCCACTGTTTGCAGATGAATCAGGACAAACTTTGTCTCAGCCACCAAAAGAGAACAGGAAGTAGTTCTATTTCCATCTGACCAGGTGGAAGATGTCTAAATTTGTTGATTTGTGTGTTGAAGATGTTGTAATTTCTAAAACTTTATTAGACAATTGAATGTTGTGTACAAAGTGATATTCTGGTACCAATTTTATTATCATTGTTTGCTATGTACTACTTCAATTTTTATTATTACACATATATGTATATAAAGATATTCATTATATAAAAATATTCTAGGTATAAAATGTCCATATAAATAAAACAAACTATTAAAATGTTTGGTATATAACCTTGTATATCCACATTACTTAATGAATTGGCCATGCATTATACACAAAATAGTAAAACACTCGTTCTTTTACTAATGCCCACCAGTAGCACAGCGTTATATCTGCGGACTTGCAATGCTAGAATCCGGGTTTCGATACCCGTGGTGGATAGAGCACAGATAGCCCATTGTGTAGCTTTGTGCTTAACTTCAAACAAACTTTTACTAATTATAACACAACTCTCCAACAGTATTATATTTACTGTAATTAAAAAAAAATGTCCCAATTTATAGTTTCTGCAACTAAATAATGTATAAGTCACTTGGTCAAGTGTATGACAGCAAAGAAACCAACGAGACAAAGGACGTTATTTGAGGTAACTTGATGTCTGGATGTAGGAATTATCGTAGTTTCAAATATTGTAATGAATTCCCAAAACAACACTTAATCAGAACTCTGTAGTTAAAATTTGAAGTAAATATCGTTAAACAATTTTACGCAGTCACTTCAGCATTAATGTTCATATGGGAAATTATTGACTTAATGATATACTTATGTTTGGGCAACTACAAAGGTACTACTTCAGAGAAGACCTCTGGTAGTTTATTGTTGTAGGTTTGCTTTTTTTATAAAAGGCTAACAAAAGAACACCATGAAAATGCTACATGATAGAAGTGAAATAAAAATATGAAACTATATAGGTGCACCTATAACGAATATTCACAGGTATGAAATCATTAGAACTAAAAGAACACAAAAATCAGAATGTAATAATGTGTTGTAGTCGATGCTAGCTTTGAAAATTGCAAAACAAGTAGATTAACATAACTTTTAGATTTATATAAACTATCCCAGCTGTCTTAATTCATTCATCATTTCCATAGGTAGGAAAACTACTAGTAGTTTTTTTCAAAAACTTAATATTGATTGATTAACAATGTCCTCTGAATCTCTTGAAAGAAGATAAGGGATAAAATTTGTAATATATATATATATAAAAAATATGTAAATGCACACAGTATTAATTATTTAAAACTATTAAAATACTGCCTAAAATTATTATTGAAAACAAAAATTAGGTAAGTGATGATAAGATTGTTTAAAACTTTATCATTGTGTTTATAATTAACTCTTGAAGTCTAGAAATATAATATGTATTGTAAATGATGTTACATGAATTGTGGTATAATCCATGTGCATTAGGTAAGTTACCTTATAATCTGAAAAGTTTGGTTTGAACTCCTGAAGGGGCTGGAAGTTGTAAAAGAAACCTTCAATCTGGTGTGTAGTTTAGTAAAAGTGGTATAGATCACATATTTTTAGTAAACACATAATCTTGCTGAAAAAGCAGTACTTGTTGTTAGTGATTGATTAGACCTATGATGCAAATCAAAACTTATAATATTAGCGATTATTTTATGGTATCCAACAGAAACATAGTACAAATTATCACTTACATTAGACATTGTGAATGTAAAGTTCAAATATATTTGATGAAGGATTTATTTTATAATAAAATTGATAGGTTAGTGAAAGTTGGTGTTCGTTTTGATGTTAGTTGGCTGAAGAGATAAGTGGTTGCAGAATTGTTCTCTTTACTTTCAAAGCTACTTCTGAAATCCCACGTATTTATTATAGTGTTTGTTCAAGAAAATTGTTATTGAGGCCAGTAAATTACTACAAGGGTTGATGAAAAGAATGAGACAGATTTACCTTCTTTTAAAATGTATTTTTGTCACTAGTCGTATAATGTTGTAGGTCTATAGTTTCTTATGTGTATTAACTGTTTTTGTAATACATCGCCTATAGATATGTAAGGTATAAGATTAAATATTATAGATAAATATATATAAACACAAACGCGTACATTAATACATTTTACAAACTTCTAAATCTTAAAATTCCCCAAGGGACTAGATAAAGAATCTAGTGTTTAAATATGTAATAGGCCTAATACTAATATCTTATGGCAAGTATAATTAATACATTTTTGCATACTTTATTGCCTTTTACACTGCTATATAAACGAAACCTAATTCTTATGGAAATTTGTATTTTTCAAATAATCAGTTAAGTATGCGGCAGCCTCAACTTGCAGATGTAAAATTATTTCATTCTAAAGTTGTAATGTTGTATTGTTCTGTAATTACTGTGTATCTTTCTGGAGGTAATTGTTATGAAATGTTTAATATTTTCATGAAGAAGAAATAAATATTAAATGTTTATCTATTCAACCAATCATGGTGATTCTTTTATTTCTACATGTTAAAAGTAAAAAAAACAAATATATATATTTATCTATGGGTACTTTAGGCCTTAAATCGATTGTTGTTTATGTACGTGTCTAGTCCTAGATATTAGTGGAGGCCTACAGCAAAGCCGTTGCATTTTATAATAAACCTCAAATACGTCGGCAAAAAAAAGTGCCTTCGTAAGAAAAAGAAACTCCAATATAATATAAATTGTCTCTCCTGTCGTTCGTGGCCCAGCATGGCCAGGTGGTTAAGGCGCTCGACTCGTTGATAAAAGAGTTGGCGGTGGGTGGTGATGACTAGCTGCCTTCCCTCTAGTCTTACACTGCTAAATTAGGGACGGCTAGCGCAGATAGCCATCGTGTAGCTTTGCTCGAAATCCATAACAAACAAACAAACCTGTCGTTCGTTTCGAAAACTCATGTCAATCTGCTTACAGTCAATAGGTAATATTACAAAGTTAGTTTCTACTTATAAGTTTGGCCAGGTGGTTAGGGCGCTCGACTCGCAGTCTGAGGGTCGCGGGTTCATATCCCCGTCACACCAAACATGCACGCCCTTTCAGCCGTGGGGGGTTTTATAAAGTGACAGTCAATCCCACTATTCGTTGGTAAATAAGTTGGCGGTGGGTGGTGATGATTAGCTGTTCTAGTCTTGCACTGCTAAATTAGGGACGGCTAGTGCAGATAGCCTTCGTGTAGCTTTGCTCGAAATTCAAAAGAAACAAACTTATAAGTTTTAATGGGTATTTTAGTATTTCGCACGGACCGCTGAAAATATTAATATTGCATTAGTTAAATTAATAAAATGCGATTCAAAACCAGAACACGCACCCTGTCAAAACTATACGTAGTTCCGATTTGAATTACTGCGTGTCTTTGTATCGCAAGGATCTGAAGTTTATTATTTTAACTTACAACACTATTGTAAATTGTATTTTAATGTTGTAATTTGTTCGTTAGCTAGAGATAACTGTTGTTTGTTAGATGGAACTGCAAGTTTTTTAAAGATTTAATGTTCTTGAAATCTCTAGAACAAGGCTTTAATTATTATATAAACGGGTCAACGTAGCGTCGAGAGCAGTAAAGCTGAGATAAAAGTGGGATATTACAGGATGCAAGGTTTCTGTCAGTGTTTCCTATCGTGCAACGTTGTACAAGTAAGTTAAATTTGTTTACGCTGTGTTGTACAGTAAAAGTGACTGTAAACTTGACAGTGTTGAATCCAGACCTTTCTACCGGGGAGGAGTGGTGTGAGAATTAATTCAAATTCAACAAAATGGAAAATACTGTACTTCAGGGGGGATTTTGTGCACAGGAGGAAATTTCCCCTGAATTCAACACTGAAACTTGACCACCTAGATGTTCCTTATTCTCAGTTCAGGAGCTGACAAATTAAATAAAGGGCATTTACATAGTGTTTTAACCCATTTGCACGTCATGTTCCCTTAATATGTTGGTAACTTTCAAAATATAATCGTTTCCTCCATCAACCCCCCCCCCCTTCAATGGCGCAGCGGAAAGTCTGCAGGCGTACGACGCTAAAAATCGGGGTTCGATACCCGTGGTGGGCAAATCACAGATACATCATTGTGTAGCTTTGTGCTTAACAAGAAACAATTTTTTTTTAAATAAAATTATTTAATGGGAAAGAAGCGGTATCACTAGCACTACGGTACTCCAAATAGTGACGTATTTTTTGTTGTATTAACGTTACTCGACTCCAAACAGTGACGTGCTTTTGTTGTACTAACGTTACGCGACTCCAAATAGTGACGTGTTATTGTTGTATTTGCCACAAACGAGACATATTTCTGATCACATATCGTGCTATCTTCAGCAAATAACGATGTCTGCTCTACATTTAAATGAAAATATTTAACGAACAAGTCACACCTCGCAGGCTGCAGCACTCCAAACTTCAACCCATTATAACCAATGAAAAAAACAACCCCTTCCTCGTAAAACTGATTGTGCACTAAATATCTTTGTGTCTCCTGATCGATGATCGACTCTTCTATAAAATGCTTAATGATCAAATATAGTAATTATTGATTAACATTAACTATTCCCGTCTATTGTAATACAAATAATGTTTTTCACAAGTTTATTTGGTGCTGAAGGAAAAGCTTTCCGTAACAGCATCAAGAAAATATAAAATGGACCGAGGCGGAAGATATGAAATCAGGAAACGACTCGAGTGTACGATGAAAAAAAAACTTTACAGTCCCTACGTCCCTTACAAGCAAATTAATAAATCGTTTTATTAATAATAATAAGAAGAAAGACATAATAGCTACCAGTATCATCATCATAAAATAACACAGTATCGCGTGTAGCAATTACAGAACAACAACAAAAAAGTAAACAAAACAAACTGACAGGAGTCTTGATACTGGAGAAACTAGTTTGTACATATTGATGTGTCTTCTTCAGTCTCACGTTATCTTCCTAACAACTTTCTCCAATATCAAAATTTCTGACAGTTTGTTCCGTTAACTGTGGTTGTTGTTCTCCATCCAGTATATATATATATCTTCCGACATTTGTACTGTATGACCATGAAATTGTTTCTTTATTCAACCCTAATACATAAAAATAAAAATGTTTTTGTGCATATATACGTTTAAGTGATTGCTCGAGGCAATCATTTTCAGAAACCCAACGACTAAGTGATAGTAGCATCACAGGTTTTGCCTACTTTCTGCCTAGATGGAGCTTCCAAAAAAATTAATTTTGTTATTTGCAGCAAATAAGGACAAGGGAACTAAACGTCAAATATTTCGTTATTCAAAGTTAATTTTTATTGTATTTTTTGCTTGCACATTATTAACGTATGGTATGGCTGTTGAAAACAATTTCATCGATACCAGTATCTAAAGGACAAGGTTTCAACCACTTTTTTTTGTCAAGATTGATTCTCAAATATCTGTTTTTTTCTTATTGTGTATATAGTGTGTTAATAATTCCCTCTAAAGTCATTGTAAACTATATGCACCAGTTAGCCCATTTGTTCAGAGTTGGGTTTGACTGGACCCCAATCCTTTGAGAAAATATTGGTTTGTTGCCATTTAGCACTTGGTCAGAGTTGGGTTTGACTGGATCCTAATCCTTTGAGGAAATATTGGTTTATTGCCGTTTGGCACTTGGTCAGAGTTGGGTTTGACTGGATCCTAATCCTTTGAGGAAATATTGGTTTATTGCCATTTAGCACTTGGTCAGAGTTGGGTTTGACTGGATCCCAATCCTTTGCTTTATATTTTGAGGCAATTGCCGTATAATATGTTTCAATGCTATATTTATATTTACTTGTTGCGTCAGTTATATCACTAGGAGTGTGAATGATAAGGACATCATTAGCACTACACGGGCCATTATGTCATGTAAGGATTCTATTTAGGTGATAACTCCCCCAAATCATCG